TCCCCCTCGCCCAGCACGCTTTGCTCGGCAGCTCGTGGTAGTCCACAGCTCCTGTGTATGAGTCAGCTCACGAAGGCGCGCTTATCATTACTACTACTACGACCATCGTTAATGCTAGATGCGATAATTGTTCATTTGCTCCCGCTGCAGAGTATGACGCAGCAGCAGCACGACGCGCGGGCAACGTGATCGCTTGCGCAGCGCAAACGCACGAGCACGCTCGCTTGTGCAGACTACTAGCTTGTCATGCCACCCCCCGCCCCCCCTCCCCTCTCAACGGTGGATAACCTTTTCGAGATTTGATGTTGAGGCCGCGTACAAGCAGACGTCATTAGCCGCCGCTCGGAGCTAAGTTTCCACTGCCGAGGCTTGTGGACGCGCCGATTGAGCTTGGTTACCCGCCCCGTGGCACGAGCGAGTCGAGTGCGGTCCGTGTTTGGTTGCACTACCGTTTCCGCACGGCGCAGGCAACAGCTTGCAGATTTGCCCCCTTTGCTTTGCAAACAGTTACACAAGCCAACCTAAATATTTGGCCATTTTCCAGTCACTTAAGACACACGTACACATGCACGCACTCGTGCTAAAGACTTTAAATCCCAACGGGACCACTATTAGGACACAATATTTAGCAAAAATAACCTCCAATAATAACGCTCCTCCAAAGCAGTCGGGTATACTTTGCAGTAATTAGCGAATACATCAAAAACATTTACCGATGGGTTAGGGACACGGAAGGAGAGACTCGTCAAATGCACTGGCTTGGCCAGCTTGTAAAACACTTTGGCTCCGGCGTGTACGTGAGCACGGGAGAGAGCCATCGTAGTTGCTAGTGCCGCTATGACGAACCTGGTTTTCACCGTGGCTAATTCCCGACCGTGAGAAACGCGCGGGCAAACACCGCCAGTGGCAATTCGTATTTGAAACCTCGCCTGGGATTCCTCCAGGTCAACTCGACCTAAAATTAGTGCTTTTGGTGCGGTGTTTCTGGCAACGCTTGGCAAATCGAGACGGAGGCAATCTGGGCGCATCGGGTTCGAATGACATTTCGCTCCATCTGCCGGGAGCTTTTTCAGAGACCAAGTAAGTTTCTGAAGAAGCTCTCGGTCACCGCAAAAGCTGCCGTACGGAGAAGCTCTCTGATGCGTGTTCGGTACAACCCGCAAGCACGCTGGCGACATCTCGGCAGCACAACCGCCAAAATCCTCCGCGGCATAACCGCAACAGCCTGGATGACAACATTACCTCGGGTCTCTGCTGTAATGGCATCATGTGTATTTTTCCGTTTTATTCTTCGAAAAAAAATTCCCTCTCTGTTCCAGTCCATTATGTTTGGCGAGGCTTTACGAATGGTACAGGAAGTCTATAATATGTTTGACCATTCTACCCCCGGCCTGACATGAGCCCTCTCTCTATGACCTTATTTTGCTACACGACAACGCGCTATTTGTTAACTTGCGGCCCGGCAGACATATTTAAAAATTGTTCCGCATTACCTGTGGCACACGCATGGCTTAAGCCACTCTTTCGAACAGCCATGCGGTTCTCAAACAACCAACCAACCTAAAAACACACTGACGGTGACCTTTAACACTTTTCCAGAGTCATGCAGAGCAGCAGATGAAATGCCCTAAAGGTGGTGGCATTTTTGAATGTCAAACTAGTCTTCATTCCCATTGTTTTTATGAGGTGGGGGGGGGGGGGGTCGGTGGGAGTGAATTGTGGGTGGGGAAATATTTGCATTTTTTTTTTTACTGTAGCATTAATTTCCCCACTGCAGTAACGATTAGCGCGCTCGGCTACGTACGGTGCGGAAGAAGTTCAACAATGAAGTCGCACCAAGTCAGAGAGCCGAGCCCAATCGCCGTCCGGAACGCTGTATGGCCGAGCGAGAGAGCGTGCTCTTCCAAATCAAGTTCCCGAAAAAGCTCCGAAGCAAGCCCCAGCAAAACGTCGGACGTCACGCCAAACAACACGCGCGCGCACGCACGGTACGACCGGAAAAGAAAAAAAACACATCGGAGGTTGTGTACCGGTGCGTGGGTGCAACAACCCAAGCGCCGGTACAGAATCACGTGATTGCACGTGGCCTCGTGTTTGCTAACCCTGCACGGCTGGGGAGGAGGTTAGTTCGGGAGCGGGAAGGCGGCCAGGTGTTTTCGGGGGGCGATTTGAGACGACGAAGGCAGCACAGGCCGGCTCCACCGCGGTGCGATGTGGTGCGATGTGGTGCGATGTGGTGCGATGCGGTGCGATGCGGTGCGATGCGGTGCGATGCGGTGCGATGCTGTGCAATGTGGTGCGATGTGGTGCGGGGATTCTTCATCTGGCAGTGCCGGAACGTGATTATTTATAACCGTGAACATTTTTTTATTGCCCCCCCCCCTCCCTGCCCCTCATCCCCATCAGCCTCAAATTGTGTGGGCCGCCCCCCTCCCCCCCCCATTGCAAGCGAGCGACCTTTTGGCCCGTACGCAAAGAAATGAAAAATTGATTTAACACAAAACAAACCGCTGTAAGGGGGAGAAGAGGAAAAAAAAACGGAAGTTGTGCACCGGAGGCGCTCACGCAGGCAGAATAATCCTACGGCACTCACTTAAACACCATCGCTTCCCCGAGTTTCCAATCGGCACCAACAGAAACACAGTCACACCAACGGCAGCACACAACACAGACCATCCAGTGTTCACCTAGTCAGACTGTCGGGGGGAGGGGGGGGGGGCAGGATCTGTTTGCGAGTACCTATTTACAGGCAACGTGACACCGTGAGGAGGGTGTCGTGACCGCGCGCGTGTGTGTGTCCTGAATGTCAATGCCGATGACCGCGTGCTAGGCCACGTGTGCTATCCATTGCTCGGCTGTGGTTACCCTGGGGAGGAAGTTCGTGTCACCCAAATATCACTGGCGTGGTACGTAACACCCACGAATCAATATCGTGCGACCGGCATCGCTGTGCAAGCGGCATATGTAGCACAACGCCTGAGGGAGGGGGGGGGGATGGGCAAACGCTGTCGGAACCCGGCCCTGGCTTCCCCATCCAGGATTTTGGCGGGCCTTGAACAGGCGCTCGCTAACAGGCGCACGGATCCGCACTGCTCTCGGGGTGAGCGCGTGCACACGCGACGGCACGTTCGGCCGCGAACGCTCGCTTTACTGTCACACGCGCGCGGAAGATTGCCATCGGTGCAGCGGGGGCCGTCCACGCGTGGAAAATGCGGATGGAAAAAAAACAAACCAAGCCGCAAGCCCAGGCAAAAAAACTCCCAGATCGCATCAGCGCACGGCACAAACAAGGGCCTCGCCCGGCATGCCGAGCAGCGCAGGGCAGCGACTTTTAGAGCGACGGTGAAAAAACAACGCGCGAGTCGTGTCTCCCCCCTTCTTCTCAAGCAGGTGTCGCGGTGATGCTGCACAGGCAGGCCTCTCTAGGACAGTTTGCACGGCGGTGACGTGGGAGGGGGAGGTCGATCTACCGGCCACTTCCGACAGAATGGTGGCTAGTGAATGACTACAGAAGGACGGGTGAGCAGAGCTGACCCGCCCGTCCGGGATTCGAACTCGTGAACGTCCGCTTGTGAGAAAAGGGCCCTGACCACAGCTCCGCCACCTACAGCCACGGTCGACAGACCCGCCCATCTGACTGCTTCCCTCGAGAGCGGCGAGCGTGTGGCGTAAACGATGGCTCCACGTCTGCGTGGTCCACTGGACCCTCGATTCCAAGGCAGTCGATTGCAAACATGCGCGCCTCTGTTATAACGATTCGGGGCCCTGCAGCCACCGGTGTTAGAAGATGAAGTTGTCAACAGCAACGGCTAGAAATTCAGATAACATTTTTTTTTAAAGCAGAAACTTCAGTTCGAATGCAACAATGCCCATGAGATTCCACCACACTGTCGTGTGCTCCCTTCCCCGTCAGATCCTAAACAATTTGACAGTCGACAGTGGACCTCTAAGCTCCGCTGTTGCAATATCCCACAATCTTGCTATCGGACCAGCCGTTGGTGGTCAATCTTTCCCGGGGCCCAATCTAAAGCCTGTCTCCATAATCTGTGCTCCCCCCCCCATCCTGCACACACACACACACACACCTCCCACCCATCCACGACCTCCTCTATTTTGGACTTCCAAAGTAGCTCCACCCTATCGTCGCCAAGAGATTCCTCGCATTGTCTAAATAAACCCGATAAACTTCAACGAGCGAATGTTTGATTTTAAACGATCCCCGGTGTCATCGCTCGCGCGCCGAAGCCGCTGCGGAATTTCGCAACCCGCCCGCCCGTTCGCCGACCCTTTGCAGGTGACGTAACTTCAGCACGCACGCACGCAGCGAAACGCTCGCCGGGGCCAGGGAACAAAACAGGAGCGTCGCGGAAACACAAAAAGAAGCGTCGATGATTTCTCAGACGCATCACCCAACCTGCACCTTTTGTTCCGTGGAAATGTGTTGCCAGTAACCCCATTGGGAGACTCTGAGCAAACCGTAAAGTATGCACTAGGTTGCCTCTTTAAAGCTACATTCTCGAAAGCAATTAAGCGTGGGTGTGAATGGGGACCCTTCTGCGCAGATAATGCGATACAATGATCGCACAGGTTGGGGAGAGAGCGAGGATTTATATCCCGAAAAGTCAAACGGGTCTGCTCTTGAAATCATGAGCACTGTTATTATAAATCATAAGAACAATGATGAGTATCACAAATGCTTGAGCAATCACTGGTAGAAGTCACATGGCCTAAAATCGGGTAATGGAAATTCCATATTCCTCTGGTGGGGTGCAGTCTCCCTTGTTGACACCTACTTCTGACTCTCCGCAATGCTGGATTAATTTTTTCACTTGCAGCCAAATGAACCTTTGACCGCGATTGGAACTCGACTGCAAGTCAAGCGATGTAACCACAGCGCCACAGGACAAGATAGCAAGATAGCGAGATGCACAGCAGATATATGTACACAAAAAGTTAGACAACAATAAGATCTGGGGATTCGCGCGTAGCTTGCGTCATACCTGCAGAGCGCACTCCCACCACGCGGTGCGCCAGCTCCCGCTGGATCTGCTGCTGGAGCTGCTGATGCAGTGCATGCTGGGAAGGCACCGGAGTGGCGGCAGCAGCAGCAGCAACAGCTGGAGGAGGAAGGGGGGTGGCAGTGGCCGGAGAAGAAGACGAGGAGGCGGCGGTGGCGGCGGGGGATGAAGACGGCGAAGAGGAGTGGGCAGAAGGGGAGGATGCGGGCGAGGGCACGGGGGTGGCGAGGCCCTGGCCGGACACTCCCGTGCCGTTCGCGTTGCCCCCCACGGACGTGGCGGCCGCCTGAGCGTGGCGGTGGAGGTGCTGCAGGGAGGGCGGCATGCCCTGGTAGTGGCGAGTGGCGCTCAGCAGATCGTTGAGGATGTGCAGGATGGTGTTGATGTCCCGACGAGGTTTGCCCAAGCTGTCCTGACAGTTGGGGTGCAGCGTGCCTGAGTGTCGCAGAGAGAGAGACCAAAGCAAAATCAATATCAATCAATGCAATGTTGACACCATCACGCCTTGCCACTGAGCCTTCCTTCTGCCAGATCAACTCGGCTGTTACAAACTTGACACCAACCCTCCAAGTTTTTTCTCTAGATGTGTCACCGCCACCGTCCGGCGTTTGGTCTTTACCATGGCCACCGACCACCAGAAGTCATTCCAATGCCCGTGTCGGTGACCCAGCCCCTCGTCCTCCACCCCGACCACGTGTCCCACCCTAACCACGTGTCCAAATCCCCCTAACCACGTGTCCAAATCCCCCAGGTGCTTCCTCTGTACTTTTACCGAGAAGCCAGATGCTTCTTTTTCATTTGATTTGTTCAGAGATGTAACAAACAAGAAGGTTAATCCTGTCCCACAGACCCATGTATTAACACCACACATTCACCTCTCCGCTACACGTAGTAGAGTGGTTTACGTAATCCATCGAAAACCTGCCCTGACGCAACGCACCTCTCAACCTGCTCAAAAACCACTTGGACTACGCGCATGAGTAGCTGAACAGACAAAGCTCTGCGATTACTCGACAGCCTCTCTGCATACGCACACCTTTGGTCAAGAAACACAGAAATTATTTAAATGCCCGACACTTCATTGGCCACTTGCTTATTTATAAGACACTTATTGCTTATGACACACCGAGCCATCAGCAGTTATTGATTGGTGGCACGGTGAACCAGATGTGTAAATTTCACGAGCACATGGGCGAAGACCGGTCTCCACTCTTCACCTCCCTTGAAGCAGAACCTATCTCATTTGCCCTCAAAGGATGCTGAGCCGAGTCGGCCCCCGACCAGGAGTTGAACTAGCAACTTTCTGATTGCGAGTTGCGCGCACGCTCTGCCACGAGTGCCCACCAACTCACGGCAAAATTTTCATCTTTTTATTTTTCTTAAAACGGGCCAAAACTTTTCCAAATGTGTGCTTTTTTTTAACGACAACTATTGGGCACATTCGATCAAGTCAACAAAATAATCGAGAGAACAATCAACAGCAGGATTTAAGCAATCACTTCTCGCCTCTCGAACAATAACACTGAAACGAAAATATAAACGGCCCGCAATCTCTGTGGTCAATGCCCCAGGGTGGGGACCCTCGACCAAAAACAAAATAAAGGAGAGAGAGCGGTCGTTTGCCACCGTTCAGCCTATTTTTAGAAACGGCCAGTTTTCCAACCGCATCCCCAAACCGCGGTGGTCAAATCTGCAAATTCTCGGCCACTTGGCGCTCGCCGGTACTCGGCGCGGCCGGGATACGGCGCTCGCAGCGACACGAAAACACCGCGCCGGTGGTGGCGTTGGTCGCGACGATACCTGTAGGTGAACGCCGGATTGGCGTGATCGAGCTTGCATCCGAAGATCGTGTTTGTGTGTGTGTGTGTGCGGGGAGCGGTAGTGGTGGTTAGCACGCTGGGCTACGAACCCTGGCGACCTGCGTTCAATTTCCACTCGTGGCCAACAGCAGTGACGATTATCGGTACCGGTCATGGGCCTCCCCTAGGTCGACTCAACCATAAGTAAGTAGCTAGTGTGGTGCGCAAACATCGCCACTGGGAGACCAAGGTGGCCAGGCGTGGTGTTGGCCAGGCGTGGTGCTAGCCATCCACCCCCTCGTGTGCTGTGCCAGCCTTCATAGGTGCTCGCTAACAGAACTTGCCCCAGCAGTCTATTAAGGCTACATGGGGGAGCTTTGTCTTTGTCTCCTCGTCGCCGTGCGGTGGTGGAAACGAGCGCCGTCGTCTGTCTACCGCTCGGGGGGGAGGGGGGGGACTGGCAAAGGTTTCAAGTGACAGAAAAGCAAAGTCTACAAAACTTTACAAACATGCCGGCTGCTGCAGGGGCTCTGTGCGCTTAGGCAATTCCTTATCTAAACGGCAAACAGCGCCGCTAATGCGAGAGAAGGCTGCCCTCCCACTCCAGACCCGAGCCTCGAGTCTATTGGGCCCCCCCCCCCCCCCCCCAGAAATGTTTGTGCAAACAAGTGGTGGTGTTCTTGGAATCAGGAAATGTGCACAAGACGAGCGCGGCGGCATGACACTTACATTTCCTTGGCCTTCCGAGGCCTCAACGGGCCCTCACCTGGTTCAAATGAAGGGCCGTTTGTTTGACCAGAAACCCCACTGTGTTGGGTTCTTTTTGAACACAAGTACCCTTGAATGCAAGTATTTAAAAAATCGTTTGCATGTTTACCGCACTTACGTGTGGTTAATGCATACACGAGTCCTTGCACAAGGTTTCTATTTGGTGTTTGAACATCTTAACACCTACTGTTTGATTGCCAGGAAGGGTAAAAACCTATTCTTTTTTTTCAACGGTTTACTCAACTTGATTCCCGTGTCGTGGTCAAATCTTGTAATCAAAATTTCGTCTACTTCCTGTTGTCCAATCAATTCCAAATTTTGCTCACGTACTCAGATCCAGGTGACAATGCATGCCTGTATCAACATCGGCATCAATTATTTAATTCGCTACTTTAAAGCAATTTACATTTTGTATGCACGCCTTATTATTTATATATATATATTTGTGTAGGTCAAAAACGCAGCGGTCCCTAAACTCTGGAATCGCCTTGCCCAAGAAGCAGGCACCACGTGCCTCAGGCGCGCGCCTGCTCCGTGTGAACGAGTTACGGCATAATCAATTTATTCAAGTAAAAGCGTTCATGTGAGAGCAGGCGCCGCATCATTGACTGTACTTCTCGACCGTGCGTTAAACGAAGTTGTTATTAAAACCGTTGTTTTAAAAAAAAAAATTTTTTAAAGGAGTTTACTTTTTTGATACTGGCAAAAAAAGGTCCCACAAGTAGCCTCCTTGTAATGTTATGAAAACACGTGCGTGCGTGCGTACGTGCGTGTGCGAGTTTGATTCCCGCTAGCAACCTCACTGATTATCTGAACTGGTCCTGGGGCCTGCCCTAGGTTGGCTCAGCCTCAAATGAGTACCTGGTACGCCCTGTCCAAACTGGACACATTAATTTATTGTCAGTAGTTTACAATTTAGATTCAAAAATAAATTAATGATATGCACTCTCGATTCCGAGTATGAGAGACAAAGTGAACCCCGGGCCCTGCCTCCCACCAAATATAGAAGTCAAACTCCGCCTATGGGTGCCGGCCACACCACCACCCACCCCTCGCGTGTCTCTCGTTGCGGCCTGCGTAGGTGCTCGCAAACAGAACTTGCTGCAACAACATTCCGTCAAGGGTGGGTCTTTGTGCGTTTGGTGGGCCGGTTGCAGAAGCAAAAAACATTCTGGCATCGGACGTGGTTTTTACTTGACAAGTGCTGGGCTCCTCTGGCTTTAGTTGTTGAGGCAATTAGGTTGGGTTTGTGATGAAAATGTTGGCACAATAATGACCTGCTCTTGTGAGTGATGTCACAGGATCTTCATTGTTCCCTTTCTGGCAATGAAATTGATGCACTGATCTGGTGCGACTGGTGGGCACAACAGGCAGCCAAAATTGCAATCATATGGGATCATTAATCTGACATTTTCCACATATTCTTTACTCGTATAACGAATTAATGAGTATATAATGGGGGTTGTTAAAGCATCAACAACGGACCTTACGGATGGATAAACACAATACCCTGAGCTCCGATAGAAATTCCAGATTATTGCGTTGAGCATCGGAGCCTTCTTAAACGATGACGACTGTTGATCTACCGCAAAACGTAACTCACTTTGACCAGCCGGTATTTAAAGCTTGCAAACTTTCAAATCGGGAGCAAAGCCCTCTAACTGGCAGTGCCACTCTGCTGGACTGTGGCCTACCGCCTATCTTACAGGGTTTGTAGATTACACTCAGATGTGAACAAAAAAATCCCTTCAGAATAATGGTAAAACTGTTTCTACACGACGGTATATTTATTTTAAAATGACTAAATAAAGGACTCTCAAGTGTCCAGCTGACAGCGAATCACAAAAAAACAGCCACGGGAAGAGTGTGGGCAACTTCACAAGACCGCTTTCTCAGGAACCACAAAAATGCTTCTTGTTGAAATGTTGGAGGGGGGGGGTGGGGGGGGGCGAGCGGGCTTGCTCCTGGTTTATTATCGTTGTCGACCGCGCCGGGACACCTCAAGACCACAATTGTTCCAGCGAGAGACTGTGGACAAAAGGGAGTGCTGTCATTCGCAGCTCACGAGAAACGGAACACGAGGGTTTGTGCCGAGTCAGGAGCACAAAGCACAGACGGGGGGAGGAGACTGCAAAGTAAAATGAGATGCCCCCGCCGTGAAGACAGGCGAGTTTGCAGGCATTGGACCGAGCAGGAAATATTTTTGGCCGATCTTTTAGCACGTTGCGGCGGTTACCAAACCAGAGGAGGCGCAGAAAGGTTTAAAATAACAGTAATTCCACCTGCACCACTGACCATGTCCATTTCCTCATGGAAGGGAAAACGGCTTTTGTTGAAGAAACACAGGCAGCAGCGATGATGATGATGATGTGTTAATCACCCCATCCACTCGTAGACAATGGTACAGATTCATGTCATTATATTAAGCCGCCTTTCGATACGGGACGCGACAAATACTGCACCTTGAAAAACACAGGGGTTTTTTTGTTTTGCGGTTGTCCAAAGTCTCAAATTAAACGGCGGTGCAGGAAACTATCAGAAGCATCTTTTTTGTCAATTTACACTTCTCGAAAGATCTGCCCGGTGCGTGTTTACAAGAGTTAATGAACTGCTAATCGCAGCTCTCTCCCTTGCAAAACAAGACTTTGTCCCGATGGCTCCTCACCTGGTTCCAAATAAAGGTCATCCGGTTGATTGATTGGTTGGTTTTCTTGCACAACAGTGGCTGCCGCATTTCTTTCATGCTTTTTCTCTTTTTTGAGCAAATTTGCACTGGGGCAGAGCACTTAGCTCACAATCGGGGGGGGGGGAGGTCACGAGGTCAACTCTAGGACAGGGGTCGCCTGGCCTGTTAACCGTTATCTTCCTTCCAAAAGGTGTTTTATTTATTTATCTATAAACTAATCCCCGCCATGGGAATGTGGAATATCGTCAACCAGCACAGGGTCACCCTGTGGAGGATACAAATTTCAAAAACGGAGAAACCTTGACTTTCTGTTTCGCACCACCACGCCCGATTCTCCTCCCAGACCAATGAAACAAAGAACTTTGTAAACGACAAGACATTTCATCCCCCCCCTTCCTCCTCCTCCTCCTCCCTCGACATTACGACTCAATCCTATTGGCTCCACTGAATGTCACAGGTCACAAACGGTGGCACGGGATTGGCCGCACGCCTCTGGCCTTGGTCAGCGTTGTTGACGGGGCGCACAGGAGGCAGCTGCCAAAGCTTTTGTTTGTTTGGACTTCACCCCCCCCCCCCCCCCCGTCTCATTTTGTTGATGGACCTGCCTGCCCCCCCCCCCTCTGCAGGCGTTGTTTATGCATCCCACTGCTAATTCTGCAAGGCACGAGGGAGCGACCCCGTTCCCGAGGCCCTGATCGCACCGCCCTTCCAGCGCAGTCGCCAGCGCCGCAGAAACAAGTTGACATTGTCACATTGGTAACGCATGATTTCGGGAAAAAAAAAAACCTTTATCAGCCCAATGCAGGCATTGCTGTTTTAAATTAATCAAATTAATGTGTGTATGCATATATATACACACACACACACACACCGACACCCACGCACACCGATGCTGGGAGTAGTGGTGCAGTGGGTCACGCACTGCGCTACGAACCCAGCGTACCGAGTTTGATTCCCAGCTAAGATTGCTGGTTGGCGACATGTAAACCCATCCTGGACCTCCCCTAGGTTGACTCAACCTGAAATAGGTGTACCTGGTGCTAAGACTAAACATCAGCACTGAGCACACCGAGGCGACTGGGCTCAGTTCCGGCCACACCACCCCCTCTTGTTCCGTGCTGCCCTTCATAGGCGCTCACTAACAGCACGGTCCCTGGTTAAAATGGTGAGCAGTAGCTACGCTATGATCCCAGTGTAATTAGGTTCTGGACAAACCCAACATTAGTGGCAAGTAGTATCTGTACCAATCCTGGGCTTCCCCCAACCTCTCGGACAACTCGGCCAGAATGAGTCGATGGGTGCAGTGTGTACATATCAGCACTTGGGCAGACAAGGCATGGTCGTGCCATGCCGCAGACCTTACCGACAACATCTACCTACAGGAGAAGGCCTCAAATAGGGAATTTATTAAGGTGGTGGGAAAAAAACCTCAACTATGAGCAAGTAACGCCCAGGTTGGAACTCCCGCCGCTGATCCTAGCTGGGGACTTTCGAAAAAATTTCCGTTTTTCTTGCGGCTCAAGCGTGCAGCGCTGGACTTGCGAAAAACAATGGATGTGCCCCCTCGCGTACCGAGGCTAATTTCCAAGCAACTCCCCCTCGAGCCAAGCGCAACAACAGAAGAGCGAGCGGCGTCCCCCCGGCGATCGCAAAGACGCGAGGGGAGGGGGTGTGGCCGACCCTCTGCCGCCGCGGGATGATCGGCGCCGTCGGTCACGTGCGGCGCGAAAGAAGTTCAACGCACATACGTACATACGGGAAACACTACGCAGTGCCCTCCCACCAGCGGTTAGATGGGCGAGGTCACTGGGCGTGTTGTAGGCCGTCGCTAAAGACTACACTTGTTTCGCCCGGCCTACACTTCCCCACGTATGACCAGTGCACCTTCGGACTTTTGTAAGTATTTATTTGTCCTAACTTCGTGCATGGCGCACTGAGATCTGTGGATGAATTGCGCCTTATAAATGTAAATCATTATTATCATCACATGCGACCGTGCACCGCAACTCTGCCGCCAGCGTGCTGCTACTCTGCCCCGCACGACGTTACAAAATCGATTTTACAGCTCCGAGTAAGGTACAGATGGAGGTACAGGGTAAGGTACAGAGATGGGGTCCATCTCTGTACCTTACCCGGAAGCACGTCAGTGACCACCATATATAAATATAAACAAACCAGCTATCGGTGGATATCGCACATCGGCCCGCAGTGTTACTTCCACGGTAGCTCTGCAAGTTGTGCCGCGTTTGGCACACAAGTGAACGTTTGGCACAGCTGGGAACGTGGCGATGCAGAGGGTGCGGTTTTGTTGATCCCCGTTGAAAGACTCTCCCCACCCTGCAGGGCCGATGAGGTACCACGTGGTGGGCACAGGACAGCAAATTGGATGTTGAACTATCTGCGTGGACGTTCCTTTCATTGGCCGTCCCACCCCCACCCCTCCCTTCTTCGCGAGTATTTTCTCCAGGCAACCACGTGAGTAAAACAAAGCTCAAGGCCAAAATCACAAAGAGGGCCCTGCTGAGAAGTAGATCTCGAGGCTCGGCGGGGCGTCGTCAAGAGATTCCTGCCACTGGGATGTCTGTCCATTTCTTTTGTAATGAGCGTTATGAATCGTGAAGAAAAAAAAAAACCCGCCACCGTGCGTACGAAGGGAAAAGCATTGAACAAAAATCCCCGCAAAAGGGTCACCAGCCCACTTGCTGTGCTGCCTTCCGTTGCCAGTACCACCCTCACACCTCTCTGCTCGATCCACAAAAAGCCCACGCTGGCAACACGCCGCTGCCGTGCTACAAGCGTGCAAACGCTGCCACACGCGTGGAAAGCGCCGACCCCTGACCTACGAGACACCGTCACTCTCACACGGCAGGGCGGTGGTGGGGGAGGGGGCGGGGCTCGAACGCCGACCTGGGCGGAGAGCGTGGGCCCACTCGGGGCGCTCTCGAATCGCACGAAGCACACTTCACCGGCGGAACATTTAACAGCGGACCCACTTCTCCGCTTACCTCTGACGATCAAGCGCGAGCGCGCCGTTCAGCTCGAGGGCCCAAGCGCGGCGACCGCGGGACGATTTAGTGCCGAACGCCAATCACTTTCCGCCACTTTTTGTTGGTCGAAAAGCAAACAATTGACATGTGCGTGGAATGACTTGACTGCCCTTTGTTTTGCCTGGAGAGTGAGAGGGCCCCCATTAGGAGCAACCATCTTTTTTGGCAGGGCGACCTCGGAGGCCACTGGGAATTTTAACGAGTAATTTATTTCAACGTGCAACATGCAGCCACCGCCGCACAGTATCCGCTGGCTCTCGAAATAAGACAACGACTCAGAGGCACGAGGAGGAACCACAGACAGGCAGGCAAGCCGGCGCTACCAACAATTGCCCGAGCTCTGCGATCCTCTAATTAATGAGTGCTTACAGGCGAGAGGAAACCGGAACACCCGGAGAAAGCCCACTGTCGTGCGAGGGGGCAACACTTTATTTTATACGGACGGAACAGGCGGAGTACACATTTGCTGTACCACCTGCCAACGCCTGTAGACTCCAAAAACCGAGATAAAGGGGCTGTGCGTCTCTGACACACAATGGGCGACTCACCTGAATGATTGAGGGCGTCTGTTTATAGTGGGCTGGTGACTCAAGGTTAGGGGGGAGTAGGGGGCTCATCGTGCCATGGGAGTTTAAGTGCACGAGGTGAGAAGTTGTCCTTGTGGCATAATGCCGCGTCACGGAACGGCTCCGGGTATATGCCACCGACAAAGAACGACGGGGAACCAGGAAGAGGAGACTTCGTTAACCGACCCCAGAAGATGGCCACTCATTGATTCTCCGCAACGGAGTCATCCTGCCGTGCGCCAACCGTGCGATATAGTCGACACATTGTGCAAGCCCTCCGCAAACTAAACTGGGTCGTCAAATTAAAGTGAAAGAAAATTGGTTGTGTTTGTGCCGTCCTTGGTGACCGAGCCGCGACCTTTGAACTCGCCACGCTTGAGACTGTCGCTCAATCACAAGGGGTGATGGGGCAGCTGGATTTGAACCCAGCCCCCCTATTAAGCAGCATGACTCCATATCTCTGACACGGGCGTCTCTCTGCTTCCTGATGCAAGCCAGCCGCCTCCTCCTCCTCCTCCCAAAGCGCGCGTGTTTACATTCACATAACCAACAGCCTCGCTCAACCGTACAATGTGTCGGTGACAAGAGTGAACAGCAGGAGACAGATAGAGATTGGGTATGACTGACATTGAAAAGGCGACCGGTTGAAGGCCCCGAAGCTCTGACTCTTTACCTTATCTACGATGGAATGCATCCTCATAGTCGCCATGACCACGTTGTAAACACTGCCATTTACAAGGACTCCCACCCTCCCCACCCCGCCACTTACGCGATAACTTTCTTGCGCTTATTTCAAGAATGCGAGGTTTTACGTCCGTTTCAGACAAACGCAAAGGTTGAACCGGCCAGGAGGTGCTTTGGTTAAAGCGCCTGACTCACAGTTGGAAGAATGTGAGTTGGGGATCAATAAAAATGACCTTTGAGAAGTTAACGGCTGTCCCAAATATAAAACAACAGCAAACACGTTGATTGAGCTTGACCCGTGTGCTCATTTGCAGGAAGAGGAACGTGAGCCGATAAGACAAGGCGGCCACCGGTCGAACGACCCACAATATTGGTCTTTAAGGTGGCTGATTAACCGGGCACGGTGCGACCGGCGTTTCTTTGTTGTTAATATATTTTTTCGCGACTGCGATCTATTTACCCAGGAAAATATATTGCTGCACAGAACTGAAAAGAAGCCAGGTTATCATGTATGTATGTTGAACTTCTTTCGCACTGTACGTAGCCAACCGTGTTCATCGGTAGTGCGGGAGGACAAACTAAAACACACAAAAAGCAGTTCTAAAGAAATTAGTTTTCAATCCAGATGATTTCAAAGCGCAAAGCTCCAGTGGGGCCTTCCTAATATCGGAAGGAATAGCCTTCCAGACTGCCGCAGATTTCAGAAATCAAACAAACAAGCAAACATACCGGAGAAGGTTCCAGAGAAGACGCCAGGAGCGTGGTTGACGAAGCTCTCGATGATAGCCCCGGGTTTGCGGGCCCGGCTGTGAGCTGACGGCGCCGGTGCCGCCACTGCCGTGCTGGCCGGCGCTTGCGTCGAAGTCTGCCGTGTGGGGAGCAGAGGAAGTAGACAACACACACACACGCGCGCGCGTCAATGTTTATATTCGGTTTTCCAGACGATGCGCCACGGAGATTTACCACCTGTCTAAGTCAGCGTGTCTCCTTGCAACCGGCAAGCATGGGCAGTGTTCACACCCCTAAGGTTGGCTGAAAGCCTGAGATGGAAATTCCACATTCCCACGGCAGGTGTGCCAGTCACTCCAGTCACTCCGTAGAACAATTTCCTGTCAACTTCCCCCACAAGGGTGGTACTTGTGTCATGCGGAGCAGTGGGGATGTGAGTGGAGCATGCTCATGCCAGTGATACACAGCCGGAAGAGGAATCAAACACACACTTTAGATAATTTACGTACGTCATTGTGGATTATTGTTTCGTGTCCACGTGGGGTGACAACCGCGCTGCCTAATTTTGGGAACAATTTTTTGTTGTGAAAAATCTGGCAGGACCCTCCTGAAAAAAAGTCTAAGATTCAGTGATGCTTTCCTTGATAAAAACAAATATAAAAATAACAATAAATATGACAACCAATGATATTATAACTACCTCTTCAATAAACGGCATTATTAATAGCGATAGTAATTTGAATTTAAATTGGATCTGAAAGCTAAAGAACTCCAGGCACTGTTGAACAAATAATTTAAACGCTGAAACAAAAAGGAAAAATACTAAAATAAAAATATTTTTTTTTTTTTTACAAAATAAAAAAATGAAATTACAAAATAAAATAAAATAAAAACTCGAGCAACGATTGGGCAGCGTGCGACAAGTGCTGAGCACCAGGCATGCGTCAACCACCGCCGGCCACATAATAATAATAATATCACGTAACACGTAGGGGTGCATTACAACAACAATTACATTCCTAATCGGAACAATGGTACAACCTACGCTCGCATAACTCTTGTTGCAAAACAAATTATAATTTTCATGAACTTCCTCGCCCCGCACGAAGGTGCCCCCCCCCCCCCCCCCACGGCTGTGTTGCCCTATTTGGGGGGTGGGGGTTATGAGGCTGGGGAGGGGGACATGGGAGGGTATGGAGGAAGCAGGGCCAAAGTTGATGATGCGAATGCAAATCACCCCGACTGCATCGTGGTTCTAAACCCGTCTCTAGGCCCAGCTATACCCAGGCTCCGGCAAGCATGCTCCCAGATAGTTATGACGATGCAGCTTGAGTGTGCTCAACTCGGTCGGAAGCAGCTATAGTGGCCTCAAACCCATTCTAGATTTGAAGCTTTCGTGACTGCAAGGATTCATACTGTTAGATTTTTCGGTAAAGTCACGTAGGTAAAAAAATTAATTAAAATTAATATAAAAAAAATCGACGTTTTGGAGGCAACACAAGTCTCCGTCATCAGGTGGACCGTCACAGCCAGATTTGCTTTATCACTTGATACAGCTGTATCAAGTGATAAAGCAAATCTGGCTGTGACTGTATCAAGTGATACAGCAAATCTGGCTGTGACGGTCCCAGCTGATGACGGAGACTTGTGTTGCCTCCGAATTAAAATTTTTTACCTACGTGACTTTACGGAAAAAACTAAGAGCGTGCCTCAAACCCAGTTTCATAGTCTGCCGCGAATGGGTTGTTTAACCACCGACTGTGCAGCGTTATGCATATCAAGATCTACTGCTGTGTGTGTGTGCATGCGCTACAATCCGGTTGTAAAAATACCAAGACAGATGAGCCTCCTTTGCATACACTCGTCGGAGGTTCTCAACAGGCATTAACAACGTGCGATAACTCCGGTCAATGAAAGTGGCTGCAGCGGAAACACATTTGCGATGTACGCTGTGTGTGTGTGTTTTTATTTGTAACCATAACTGAGTAAAAAAAAAATGTTCATGATACCGGGCGATATAAAACCCACCTTTGACACCAAAGACTGTTTGTACGATGAGGCTCCCCGATTTGACGTATTGTGTCATGCCTATTGCAATCATAGCCGTTCCAAGACATATGGTGGGCTGCTTCACTTCACGAACGGGCTTACAAGCAAGCCCATTTCCATTATTCTTGTTTGTATTTATTGTGTTTTGTTCCAAGCAAAAGGAGTGGGTTCAATTTAAAAGTTGGTCCGTGACTGATGGCCCAAAACCTAATACCTCTGCTTGCGCTGGGTTCGTAACGCCCGCGATGCCGTTCGACGGAGCCTCGCAGCTTGTGAACTTAAATTGTAATTAATTAGGGTTTGCTCTGGACCATCAGCTGCGTAAACATGATGGGGATAATCGTGGCCTGAAGCACTGGATATGCAGCAGCTATTTCGTGTTTACACGCTGTAAGTTACATTGGTACGCGCGCGTTTCGAGGGGAAAACCGCAATATTTTGAGAATTAAGTGAATTACTTTAGAAATTTCTCCGTAATACTTATCAATAGTTGTTCACGACACAATTCGGCAAAGTTACTGCTTTGTTATTGACAAGACCCAAGCAGTCAGCACATCTAATCTCTCGCCCCGAAAGTGCATTGGTCGCCCATCAACCAACGCCAATAAAAAATGCGCTCGACCAAAATAAACAAAGCAATTCATTATTTAAGCGACGGAATTTTGAGAAACTACGTCACGCAAACTCATCGCGCAGGCGGCCAAACGGTTTCGCTGCTACGCGCACTTTCTCGGAAACGTCACGGCGGTAGCGGCGGTGGTGCGCGGTGGTGCGCGGTGGTGCACGGTGGTGCGGGAGGTGCGGGAGGGGGGGGGTCCCCCCAGCTTGAGACCCCCCAGCGGTTAGTGCCCACGACTCCCCGTGCTTGTGGGTGGGTTGGTGTGGAGGGGACGACCTTTCGGACTCAGCTCCGCCGATCGAGCGATGGTGTCGCTCGAGCTCAAGACATGCGTGCTTGCTCGCTCATTAGATATGCGCCCCCTCAAGCCGGAGATTCATGATTCGGACTTGGGAAGAGGCTCAAACGTCTTTTGGATACCCCGCGCCAGCGCTTCACGCCATGACCTAGTCACAGAAAAATTTGGACGCACTGCCAGCGCCGTTTTCTTTTATAATTTTTTTTTTTACTTTTGTGGGTTATTGCTCGTGCGTGGGCATCACAAGTGGAAAATTTCAGTCAGATGTTGCACCTGGTTTTGCGCCCGCTGTGATGGGCCTACGGGGGGTAGCGGCGACGGTGGGGGGGGGGGGATGGGAAGGAATGCCACTGTGTGGGGCTTCTTCTTGCTGGAACTCGCAGTCCGCGGGCTCCACACCCCGCACCGATTGACAAGGCGTCGCCGCGCATGATGCTCATGATTACAATCAGGAGCTCGCTTATTAACGACGCAGCCGGGATACTCGGGGGACCCTCCGAGCGCCGAGCCGGCACCGTCCTCCGGATGCGGCGTTTGTGTCGGACACCTGCGCTGCTTGCGCCAGGTGCTCAAGCGTTGTTGTTGTTGTTGTCATGGGACCTTTTCGCCAGTATCAAAGTATGAAAAATAATAGGTATTACCAGAGCATGATTAATGCGGGCTTGATTCCTTGCAAAAGGTGTCTATTTGGTGTTTGACTATCTTAACACCTCCCGTTTTATTGCCAGAAAGGGTAAAACCTCTTCTCGTTGTTGTGGGCCGTCGCGTCGGATCGACAACGCCTGTCTGAGAGAAAGCTATTTTGTTACATCTACGTTTCTTCACAGGTCTGAAGTGTAATTAGCCGATGGCGTCCGCCCGGTCGGCAATGACCGCACGAAAAACGACCAAATACAATCTGGTTTGTCTCTTAATTCTGCCGAGGCGATTTCCGAGAGCCAAGGGGTCGCTTACAACGGTAGCGGCACACCCCGCGCATTTGCAAAGAGAAATATAACTCCCACGCGTAGGCTGCCGATTATTAAAGTGAGCCGCTAGCGTCAGGTCACGCTAAACGCGAGCGCGCACTAGCGCGACGGGTTTCTCGAAATGAGCGTGTGGTTGGTCTTACTCGGTCCATCGCACAGCTCTTCCAACGTCGCAGATGCAGCGGCCGGAAGTGAAGCAGTGTATTCAACTCCAAAGAAAACTGCGTTTTAATCGTAATAATGTAAATTTGTAAGGCTCATTTCATTCCCAAGATCCCACTGCGTCCCCTGTTTGGAAAGCAGGAAATAAACAGGGCCTGCAGGGTAAACGACCAAAACGCGGAGGGGTAATGGCAAATTTAAAGAGGTGATTCTAGATTTGAAGCTTTCGTGACTGCAAGGATTCACACTCTTAGGTATTTTTGGTAAAGTCACGTAGGTAAAAAATATAAATAATAATAGAATTAAAATAATAAATCACGACGTTTCGGAGGCAACACAAGTCTCCGTCATCAGGTGGGACCGTCACAACTAAATTTACTGTATCAAGATACAGTTAACTTAGCTGTGATACAGTAAATTTAGCTGTGGCGGTCCCACATCATGACGGAGACTTGTGTTGCCTCCGAAACGTCGTGATTTATTATTTTATTTCTATTATTATTTATATTATTTTTATTATTATTTTTTTACCTACGTGACTTTACCGAAAAAAACTTAAGAGTATTAAAGAGGTGAGTTTTCAAGACAGACTAAAATATATCAAACGACTCCGATTGTCTTACTAGCAAAGGCAAAACGTCCCAAAGCGTTGCGAGCTGCAATGGCGAAAGCCCCCGCAGGAAATGAGCCTTGACCTCGGAGTACTGAGAAGACAATGGATCCCAAGATCTCAGCGACCTTGTTAGAGTGTGCGGATGGATCAGCAGTTTTTAGTATTCACGCTAAAAAACTCGGCTTTCATAAGTGGCCACGGACACGCTCGCGGGCATGGCTAAGGTAATCATTAATCATAATTAATAATGAGAATGAAAGTTTCTGAGTGCCTGACGGCACAGGCCGCAATTCAATTGCCTCTTGAGCCGGAGCATGTCGGAGACAACTTGCATCGCCTCGTGTGAGTCACGACGTTGCCCTCCCCCCTTCCCCCCCTTTGCACCTCTCCACACAATTTTGGACCATTCCCACCAGCCCAGCTGATCACGTGTTACACCCGGTGCCAAATTGCGGGAGCGCAAATTGGCGTTTCGATACATTTCAGTCGCTCGAAACAAAATATTGGCAAGCCTTGTGTCTGCAGAAGTTGGAGACGACCGATTATAGCCTGACATCTGGATTTAAAGACCCTTGTTTTTTGGAGTGTGGCCGTGCTGTGCATTGACCATTCTTGAGCACGAGGGGCAATTTGAGGCTCGTGTGCGAAGGGCAATTATCGACACGGTAATAGCCTTGCGCGCGACACCCTGGTCGGGTGATGGAATCTGATGGAATCTCACCCGACCAGGGGCGGGCCTGGGCAGGGTGATTTACAAAACTCAAAATGGAATCGATGACCTCGGGATGTTGTCCTCACCCGGTTAATTTTATTTTTTTGTGAAATGAGAAATGAATCCCGGCCGAGCTACAGGAGTCGGCAGAACAGCGCGCCTCCTTGGCAGCCTAGTTTAGTGGCTTGACGCTGATACTCTTTAGACGTACTTTAGAATGAGCTCCGCACCATGATGAAAGGAAGCTGCGGTATACTAGTACCCGACGCTTTGTGCGGGTCAGCAGTGGTTGTATTTGGGAGACAATGGAATCCACCGTAGCAATGTCACCACTCAAAAAGGGTGCAGAGTACTGCTCTCATGTAATGTTAGTAGGAAGGGCACTTTGACTTTTGGGCTGTAAATAACTACCCAGTAAACCAGACAATGCTGGGTCAACGTTGGTTGGATCTGTTGGAACTTTCCGTGGTTACTGAGTAGTCTGGTTGATGACTATCATTTTATATTGTCACATCATTGAATTACGGCCTGTATATAATACAGTGACCACATTTACGATGGTGATGATGATGATGATGATTTAAAGTCGACGATGACAAAAAGGGAACAATCGCAGCGGTGGACAAAACGCCGCCCCCACGACGGCACCGCCTACTTACGTGGGCCGCAGCTGGCGTGGGTGGCGGCTCGCATGGACAGCTCTGATTGGCCGCCCGAGCCGCGTGCCACGCCTGATTGGACATCCTGCCGAAGTGGGGCGCGGGGGCCTGCGCGGGCGACGAGGTGCCACCCGGCGGCTGCTGCTGCTGCTGTTGCCGTTGCCCGGCCAAGTGGCTCAGGGAGAACGCCGGATGGCCCGAGGAGCCGGCGTGCTGAGCGGCGGCCGGCAGCTGGTGGCGCGCCGACAGCTGATGAGCGGCCTGCGCCTGGAGGGCCGCCGCGGGGAGGTGGTGACCGGGCGAGCCGTGGTGGCCCGCCGGCGGCACCGCCCGCTGGTGCTGGGGGACAAAGGGAGGGACGCCGCCGGCCGACGCGCTGGACCCAGATGCCTGGTGGCCCCCGGTGAAGGAAGACGAGGAGGTGGAGGAGGTGGAGGCGGCGGAGCGGTTCTGGCGCTGGTGGCAGGCGTGCAGGCAGCCCGTGGCGTGCGAGTGCGCGCGCGGGTCCCGCGAGTAGCGCTGGAAGCGCGGGTCGCGGGGAGCGCCGTGATGGTGGTGGTGGTGGTGGTGATGGTGGTGGTGGTGATGGTGGCTGTGCGGCTGCTGTTGTTGCTGCTGCTGTTGCTGCTGCTGCTGCTGTTGCCGTTGCTGCTGCTGCTGCTGGTGTTGCTGGGGAGCCAGCTGGAGTTGCACGAACATCATGTGATCTCCGACGCGCAGGGCGAGGGTCAAAGGTGAGCGGCCTGACAGGAAGTCACTGACCTGCGAAGGGTAAACAACAAACAGAAGGATGAGCAATGGCGATCAAAATAACTAACACATCACGATGATAGCGCCTCATTATTTGGTGGGCAAAGTGACCGCACAACACATTCGCCATATTCACTGTGGCTCTGGCACTTATACAACAGACTCTCAATAATAATTTCAATCAAAGGGCTACATAACGACGAGTCATTACCTCACGAGACGTGCGGCTCTCATTTCAGAGATGGATTGGGGCTTTGTTAAAAAGGACACGTTGCTTAGTGTTGAAACACCAAGAGCAACCTCACAGGATAAATTGGTCATGTTTAGTTCATCCGTGTGCTAACCCATTTTAGTACTGTCTTGGTAGCGGTGCACAAAGCACAATAACGCTGTGGCCTTAAAGAAAACAATATTTAATAGGCGACATTTCAGGCATTTCCTGTAATGCCGGAGTGTTCGTGACTAATGTGTTGAGTTTTCATTCTAATAAGTGCAATATTGAGAATACCGAACATAAAAAAAGAAAAATCATTAAATGCGATGCCATCAATTACTATCGAATGAATATATTAAAGCCAAGCACCCCTCTTGCCCAAATTAATGTTGGGCAGTGCTCATCGTTGCCGGAAGACTGAGGGGCCAGCGGTGGAAAATTCCACATTCCCGTGACAGGTTGCCAATATTTCCATGGAACAACCATTTGAAGGCTTCCAAAAAAGACAAAGTGGTATTCATTTTAGTGACCTCGGATGAATGATTAGCCGAGACGACCCCTGACCTGGGTTTGAACTCGTGACCCTTCCATTTACGAGTCACGTGCCCTCGTGAACCACCCGACAAGCAAATAAACGGATTAATTCATCGCGCATTTAGAAATGTTGAAATAGAGCGAGTGTAAAACACGCCCCCAAAATGTCATTCCTCTTCTCCATTTTAACCGTGAACATCTGCACAGCGGCATTTCCCGAAAGAAAAAAATCCAAGAGGCGTCTGTGACGTGGCCGCAGACGAAACGTCACGTACGCTTTCTCATCGAACCCGCTGTCGCAGATTTCGCATCGATAACGCAATTCTAGGTGGCGTCCAATAATACATCAACTGACCATCAACGGTCAACGCTAAGTGGCTGTAATCTACAACAGGACAATAATGCCCGTGTCCTCAGCGGCAACAGATACCGGACGTTGCATACGACGCAGAGTGACCAACCGTTTATTAAGAGGGTGGTCATTAAAAAAAACCCTGAACAACAGCAGTACGTACGTGTGTTCTTTACAAACACTGTTAATGTTATCAACTCTATCCACATGCTGTGTTAGGAGGAGTCTCGGAACTACGTCACTACACTGCTTCTCGGCAGTGCTGACTCAGTGCTCCGACGCGGCTATTGCGAGCTCAATTCGTTACATCCCAAAATATTTTTCCACCTGATTTACAATAGAGTAAATTAAGTCCAAAGTCGTGGATCAGTGATGATAATCATGCTGGGGTGCGGTCTCTAAAAATGATTACCACTTCGTCTGCGAGAAGTCAGACAGTGGTTTGGGTTTCCTTGGCTTCTGCCATTGGAATGTGGGCTCCATGGTGGCGAGATGTTAACTACCTCGCTTGGTATACAGGAGGTCTCGGGTTTGATCCCAACCCTGATGCCTGCTGTATATTTCGAGTTTGCACATCTCTCTCCCCCCCATGGTCATGTGGATTTTTCTCCAGATCCGCAGGTTTTTCCCTCCACATTTAGAAACATTCGTTTAGAGTATTTTGCCACGTGATAAGCCACTTCATTGGGCTATTAATTGTGGCCAGGTTGTTTTTTAAAAAGAGCTATACAGCTCACTGGGCCTTGCCTGGTAAAATAAAAATTGTATTTAATAGTTTTATACTCAAAATAGTTTAAATCGTTTTAGAATATTCCAGCAATTGCTCAGTGCGCTCAACGGAAAATGAGGGCCACACAACGATAGGTTGGACGAGGGATGTTTTGCATTGTCACCTTTCGTTTAGAACCAGAAACTCGGCGACACGTCCCAATGGTGTGGACCAGTCACAAAATCGAAAATTCGACTCTCCTCTCGTGAGACCACTGCCGGAGGCCCTGGGATCACCGCGAGTTTGAACGTCGTGATTAACAACAGCAAAATACTTTCAGAACTCCTCTTCTTCCCCCTGTTTTGCATGTCTACCGCACACGCGTGGGTCACGCGTGTGCACACGCCCACACACGTGCAACACCCATGCCTACGCGCGCACGTACACAAGGAAGTACATTTTTTTTTGGTTCACACGCTCATTCGGCCCTGCTCCTGTTTACAAACTCTTAAACAACAACAACGACGAAGGTACGGGCCCACGCAGCCGACAACGTGGTGCCAGTGCGCTGGCTTCTTTACTCGTGCGTAACATTCCAACCGGTGGCGCCCAAGCCTCAATTGCAGTTTTAGATCCTACGTGGCGTGGCACACTGCACGTGGGTCACTGGATCGCAGGAAGATCGTAAGTGTGCGCGAGGCATCCGAACGCGGGGCTACGGCGTTTTCTCTGGGTATGCCAAAGTGTCCTCCCCATGTGCAAAACGAATTGGTAAAATAGCAAAACTAAAAAGACATCTTATAGAGTATACGGGGCACCCAGTGGGGCTTTTCGAGACAACTGTATGACATCGCAGGGTTATTGTTAGGCACTCACTGAACCAGCTTCGGGTGACCTAGTTGGCCTCTTGAGCTATGGGAACATGGAGCCGATACGCGTCCCCAGTGTCTCAGTTCTAAGGGAGCCAGGTTTCAGGTCACGATGAAGGCTCACAGTGGCACATTCGCGGTTTCACTCCAGCCATCAAAACGGCACTCGAGAGAGGGGGCCCACGGGCGGTTTGGGAGATTCAAAATTTGCTTCGTCAAATTGGTTAGTCGGCACAGTCAAGATTCAGGGTTCAAATCAGATTCGGCGGCCAGCCCGACGAGATGAAGCAGCATTCTCAAACGAAGGGATGGTGGCCGACGATCAAAGAATGAATCGCGGAGTGGCAGCCAAGCAATGGAAACACGCCCGATAGAAACATCTACCGAGGGAATGGAGCGCCGGAATGGAGTCCTGCTATTTTGTGCAGATCCAAGGTGGATTATTACATTGCAGGATCGCGAGAGATGGCAACAGATTTTGGGAGGCGAGGCCTTCGTTCGGCAGTGGATTGATGATGGCGGACTATGGCGCTAATGACATGAACGAAAACAAACTTCCGAATAAAGAAAAAAATATGGAGGTTGAGTTTCGAAATGCAGTATGTTCTGTCGTCTCATTCTAAAACTATTTTTTCCACCCATCCTAAATGGCCATGCAAATTGGACCAATATTATTGAAAACAGAAGGAGCGGGGCAAGTCTGAAACCGCCGAGGCTAAATGGAGCAGCAGCCCGTTCCCTTGTGGTTCAGCGCGTGCGGAACCATCACCGAGCGCCGAGCGCAGCCGGCTGGCTCGTTTGCACGGGTCACCGTGACCAGGTCACCGCCAGCAGCTTGTGGACAGGTCACCGTTGATGCAGAGCTCCGCAGAGCTCCGCAGAGATGGAGCAATTACCGTAGCCGCACCGCGCGCTGCTCCCCGGGGCGATGGCAACGCTCGCCTCAACATCCACACTTTCAACGTCATCCTGCCGGATGCCAACGTCGGTCATTCTCAATCTGCTGCTGGGATGATTCAAATACATTTCTGGCTCCGTATTCAATGTCATCTCACTTCCCACGCGTTCCCTCTCTTTGCGCGTTTCCTTTTTTGTATAGATGTTTGTATTTCACGACCGCTAATTATATCCCAATTGCGCCAATGTGGGAGTGGAAGTTATGAGATGAAACGTGCTTCTGAATATGGAATAATCAAGGGAATTATTTGTGTGTCGGCATGACGCGTTCCAGAACTGCTTTTCGGTGAAGTCAAGTGAATCGGTTCTTGCTCCCCGTTTCAAAGACAAGACGGCGTTTCTTCCCACTCTGAAAAAAGCTGCCCATCATCCAATGCGGTCACGAACCTTAGAGAGATATTGCACCAAGTAAAACCAACCAGTTAAAATTCTTCAAGAGCAAATAAACATTTCAAAATACCTAACATCTTAATTACATTTTTAATGCATACAGCAAGGCTTTCCATGTAAAAAACTATTTTAAAAAAATATACACAATACACACATTATGCAATCATTGGTGACTACCCTCATACAATTATGTTCACTGGAGCACCCAGGTTTGATAAACGATGGCTTTGAACCTAGATTGAGGCCCTGGGTCTCGGTAGTTCTGACTCGGCGACAAACAACTCCATTACCCACCCCCCCCCTGCTGCCACCACCCAAGCTGTGCTCTGCTTTCCCCTGTGCTGGTCGACGCTTCAAGCAGCCTACAGCCACCGCTGACGATCTTTTGAGAAGAGCAGCTTCGTCGCTTCATCGAATTCCTTCAGTTGCGAATAAATATTATTCCGATTCTCCCTGCGTCCCCCCTCCCCTCCGCCGTAGATACCAGCCAGGGCCAAGGCACCACATTAATAATAAGTCTACTTAAAATAGACGACGCTACGCATGCATTACTCACTTATTTTCTTTCTGACATCATCCGCAAACAAGCCCCCTTTAAAAGTGTTGAGGCGAGTATTATTAGCGAGCGTCTATTAAGGCGTGCGTGACGCATGCAGAGGCCTCCGTCTCGCCCGACCAACCAAACAAGGGGGAGGAACTCATTCGTATGGGAACCACCAAAGTGGAAACGGAATGACAAAAAAACCCACAACAACCGCACGTAGGAATGACAGATTACAGTTTCTCTGATCCGCAGGAAATGACAGCAAATGTGAGCTGACCTTTACGAAGCGGTGGTTTTTAAGAGAGCGCTAGAAATCCGAGGAAGCAATGGAAATCTGCAGAAGCACAATCCAACACGACTGAACCTTGTCGCTGGTCTCCCGGCTTTGATGAAAAATCCATGCCACCGGAGTGAATTGTTAAAACCAGGCAAATGTGCCTCCT